TGGTAACTATCATTTTACTCACTGTCTTTACATTATAACTATTATATACTTCATGTAACTGGAATCATACAGTATTTGTCCTTTTGTAACTAGTTTATTTTACTTAGCATAATATCCTTGTGGTTCATCTGTGTTGTAACATATGTCAAAATTTCCTTTATTTTTGAGGCTGAATGATATTGTTGTATGTATATATTATCCCCACATTTTGTTTATCCATTTTTTCATCCAAGGACCTTTTGGCTGCTTCCACATTTTAGCTATTATGAATAATGCTGCGAGGTGTACAAATATGCCTTTGAAATCTAATTTTTAATTCTTTTGAGTATATGCTCAGAAATAGAATTGCTGCATCATATGCTAATTTTAAAAAACTTGCTGAGAAACTGTAATAATGTTTTTCACAACAGTCATGCCATTTTACATTTATATTACTTGTGTGCCCAGCAGGGCACACAACTTCCAATTTCTCTACATTCTTGCCAATTTTTATTACTCACAGATTTATTTTTTTGTTGGTGGCCATCCTAATGGGTATGAGGTGATACAGTATTGATTAGCATGTGCATAATGATTAGTGATGCTGAATATCTTTTCATGTGCTTCTTGGCCATTTATATACCTTCTCTTTTTTGTTGGCCATTTATATAGCTTCTTTAGAGAAATGTCTATTCAGTCTTTTGCCCATGTTAAAATCAGGTTATTTGCATTTTCGTTATTGTCTGTTTTTATCTCTATGACTCTAAAATGAGACTCTCCATTTTAATAAAAGTGTTTCACAAAATAATTTTAGTAAGTTGGGACTTTGTATGCTGTTTCAGAAAAATGAGACTTCATACTTGGCCATACTGTGACACTATACAGCTCTCAAATGCCATTTTAATGAGCTGTCATTTAAATATAGTAATGCTTCATTGTTCATTTGAAGATAATATTAACATGAGAGAGTTACTGAAATCTGGACTACGTGAACGTATAAAATCAAATGCAGAGAAATTCTTCATTGCATTTGCTTTTATATTAACTGTTCATCAGTTATACATGTTGGTACACACAGACATGATTATATTGTTGAAGTTCTAGTGAAGGTTCTTTTAATAGACATATTCTGGGTCAGCCCTGTAGCGTGCCCTATAGCATACAAGATGAGAGAGTCAGATTCCAAACGAATGGAAGAGGTTCCAGTCCCAGCCCTGAGCACCGTGAAAGACATGCCAGGCACATCTAAATGCCTGCACAATATCTTGAAAGACTAAAGGGGTGGAGGCCATGGGACAGTGGTATGACCACATCCCATTCGGGGTGCTTTTTCTCTCTGTTGCTGTCTCTCTCTTTCTCTCTGTTTCTCTGGTGAACACATGTATTCTCTGGCAATTAACTGTAAATAAATAGGGACCAGCAGATAGTGTACTGGTTACATCACTGGATTCCCACATGGACAAACATGGTTTGCGTCCTAGACCTGGTAGCTTAAAATTCATGCTGGGCATGTGTGCTTGCATGCCCAAGATCCTGGGAAGATAATGGAAAAGGGATCATAGCGTGGCCATCCCTCTCCCTGTGGGGGGAGTGATTTCTCACTTTCTCTCTCACTGTGTCTGTCTGTCTGTCTCTCTCTCTTCAGCATACATGCCCCTAAAGCAAACCTCTAAAAAAAAAAAAAGTAAAAAATAAATAGACAGACATACATGTTCACAATGCTGGACACTGTTTGATAACTTTCTCATTATATTTTTCTGATTTAAATTACCATATCCTGTAGCACTTTGCTTATACAGTATAGCATGTTGAACAGAAAGCTCAAAAATATTTTTAAAGAATTACTTAATTTTTTTATTATTATTATCATTATTATTATTAACTTGCTATAGGGCACATGCACTCACCAGAGAGAGAGAGAGAGAGAGAGAGAGGAAAAGAGCAAGAGAGAGGGAAAATAAGAAAGCAAACCACAAGATCCAGGACTGGAATCATGGTCAATCATGTGGTAGTCCAGTGCCTTAACCACCACACCACCTGCTGGCCCCTTAAAAGCAATTTTTAATGCACCTACCTTGATGGGTTTTCTTATGAATGTAAGAGAGTTCAACTTACGAATTAACTAGCTTGTAGAATAAATAAAAAGGCTGTATTTATAATTCACAATATTAAATAGCAGTCAAATTTTCTAACTGAATGTTTCAGTCATTTTTGATTTACAAAGTAAACAGAAGTTTCTGTCTTTGATAATAAAAATGTTTTATGAGGAGAGAAATATTTTAGGAAGGCCCTTCAGCTCATGAATTATCACTCAGAAAGCAAAGCTTTTAAGACTGTAAATCTTTTCTTATGATCAGTTTCAAATGTCGCTCCTATATGAAATATCCCCACTAGAGGTAATCATTTCTTAGATCACATAGAACTTAGTTCCTATCTCAATTACTATATTTAAAGTTTAAATTTTATTTAGTTTCTTCTCATGTCTTTCTTATTCAGTCATTTGTGATGCCCTTGAATGAAGAAATAGTATCTCTATATCTAATGCAAGCTCAGAATCTTGCTTATAATGGATACTAAGCAAATGTTTAATGAATAAATTAAAAAGCAATGAAGGTAACATTCTCTTCATCAAAAGTTGCTACCACTCAGAAAATGCAGTAATGAACCAATGCTGTCCCCTTTTTTTAAATAGAATTTTCTTGGTTTAGCCAACATCATACATGTAGAGTTGACAGAGTTCTTTGTTTTGGCAGCATGTTTTCAAAGTTTCTAGCCCATTAGAGTGCAACGACCCTAAAGTTAGGTTCCTAGGTCTCCTTATGGATAAACAGAATTCAAGACTTCTCCATTGGAGTTAACTGTAAAAGATTAGTAACATATCTCACACAACTGAGATTGTATTTTTTGTGGTCCATGGATTCAAGGAGTGGTACATGACAGCAGTGAAATTTATGATTCATTCCCTTTCAAAGACTTCTTTAAATTAAAGAGAATCCGTACTGTCCTCCAGTAGTGGGGACCTATCCTAAGCCTTCCTTTAGCTACTCTTGGGTCCAGATGCAAAATGATCATGGCAAATGGGGTGATCAACCTTATCCTCATGTATACATCTAAAACATAAACAGTGAAGGCATCTTCCAATACTACCTGGCCATTCCGAAAATCCTGTTTCCTGCCATTCTCCATCTGTCAGGATCCTGAGCATGCATGGTATGCCTCTGTATTTTCAAGTCACTGAGGCTGGTTCTCCAACCCCAGTTGGTCATGTGAAATACAGCTTCCTCTGGACAGTGCTTAACTACTGTGCCATATGGTTGCCCCCTTTTTAAAAGCGTGTTCATTCTATTCATAGCATGGGCATGTGCAAGGGAAAGGATAAGGGAAGAGAGAGAGAGAGAGAGAGAGAGGTGCATCCTCAACAGGATCTCATCACACCATGATCTCCCTTTTATAGCCTTCAGCTCATGGGATCTTGAACACGTGTGTGTACCAGGGATCCATCCTGTGGTCAGTCATGTGGCTTCCAGTGCCATAGTTCAGTTCATTACCAGCTGTGCCAAAAGGCTGGGCCATGATTGGTCATCCTAAATTGTTAGAACATCATCAGTCCCATGCTACTTTCCTTGGTGGACAGACACATTTAGGCCAATCCAGTTAGTAACTCCAGGCTTTAGAGATGGTAAGCATGTTATCTGGTAAACCACTCTCCCTTCTTCCTCTGGACTACATTTCCTTAGTTAGAACAGCGGATCTCAAATTTTACTACGCAACAGAATCACCTAGAAGGCTTGTTAAAGCAGATTGCTCCACCTTGTGGCCAGTTTATAATTTAGAAGCTCTGAGGACAGGCTTAAAAATTTGCATTTCTAACATATTATCAGGTAATGCTGATGATGTTGGTCTGGGACTCAGGTTTGAGAACCACTGCTCTAGAAGTTAGGCACATCACTATTTTCTTTTGAGAGTAACATGTAATCAAATTGAAAGTATGAAGGTATGATGCAACAATATAAAGCACAGACTTTAATAAGAATCCATCTTATTTTCTTAATCATCTCTCAATGGTGATTTTTTTTTAAGAATTTTTGCAATACGGTGTGTGCACTAGCCAGAGAGAGACAGACAGAGGAAACATAAGAAAACACAAGAAATCACTTCCCTTGGGGTATGGCTGCATTGCAATCCCTTCTCCTCCATTCTCTATCTGGGACTCTGGGCATGAACACACATATGCCCGGCATGATATTCAAGTCACCAGGTCTGGGACTCAAACCACAGTCAGCTATGTGGGAATCCAGAGCCTTAACTACCATGCCACCTGCTGGTCCCTGAATATGTTTCTTTAAAAGACAAAAACAAAACAAAACAAAACAAACAAACAAACAAAAACCTTTAATATAAAAAGTGCAGCAGATTGAGAAAGCAAGCCGACAGGTCTAGGACTTGAACCAGTCAGATATGTGGGAATCCAGTACCTTAAGCACCATGCCACCTGCTGGCCCTAGGAAGTGCTTTTTTACCTCCACCCTATCTCTCTTTGATGAGCACACAAGCTCCCTAGCAAAATTTTAAAAAAGAAAAAAAGCACATGTTATAACAGCCTGCATTTGTTTTAACCTGTGGAAACATTTTTTTTCCAAACATTTTAATGTAACTGATAAGAAAAATATAAAAGCAATTCTAAATTTTAAATATGCATTCCATTTTACACCCAAATTATGTCCTTGGAAACATCTGTTCCTTCCATCAGTACAGATTTTGCCTTCAACTGTGGTAATATGTCTCTTATCTTCAAAGAAATGTTCCTGAATGTCTTCCTTTAGATGTTGTTTTGACCTAGAAGAGACTGAACTGTGGCACTAGGGTGGCAGAATTTAAATCCCAAATCTGTGAAAGGTTTCTAAGGAAATATATTGAAAATAGAAAAATCTAACCATTCTGATAAATAAAATAAATTTCTAACTGTCTCGATCCCAGAAACTAGTTTTCAATAATAACACCTTTTTTTTGTTTGTCTCTAGCGTGCTGGTGGTACCCTGGCCATTCCCTTGTGTGCATTCCAGGGGACGGTGTCTCTCCAAGCTCCTACAGGGAAAACTTTATCTCTTTCTACCTATGAGGTAAGTGCAGAAGGGCAAAAAATAACCCCAACATCTAAGAAAATAGAAGTCTATCGATCCAAAAGTGTTGGCCATGAACCAAACTCAGAGGATTCTCCCTCCACATTTGCGGACACCAGTGTGAAAATACACTTGGAGGTTCTTGAAATTTGTGATAATGAAGAGGCCTTGGACACTGTGTCAATCATTAGCAACATCAGCCAGTCCTCCACTCAAGTCAGATCTCCATCCCTGCGCTACTCACGGAAAGAAAACAGATTTGTTTCATGTGACTTAGGGGAAACAGCCTCATACTCCCTCTTTTTACCCACGAGTAATCCCGATGGTGATATCAACATCTCCATTCCAGACACTGTGGAAGCACACAGGCGAAACAGTAAAAGGCAGCACCAAGAAAGGAGTGGCTACAAGGAGGAAATCCAGTTGTTAAACGAAGCTTACAGGAAAAGAGAGGAAGAAAACAAGGGTAATTAGTGGCCACTTGGGCTAACTTTTGGAATGGACCTGCAACCTCAACTTGTGAAACTAAGACTTTTGGTCTGAGACTGATTTCCTTTCATTCGTTGGTTTACATAAGCTTTTCTGATTTATCTATTTTTAGTGTCAACAGCTGGAACTAGTGTAAACACTTAAGTGCATTTGATGTGTTACCTAAAGATCACACACTGTGGTAATTAAAAGATTTTGTTTCTTATCTGATTTCTAAAATATCTTTTCTAAATCAAATCTTGGCCTAGTTTACTAGTAATGTTTTTGCCTCTGCTTGTCAACCTCTGAGTAAATAGAAAATTGTATAAACTCAAGGAGGATACTGTTCCATGCACGGGTTTCTACACACAGTGTTGGCCTTTACTGCAAAGGGTAAAAAAAAGAGACATTTGGGGAATGGACTAAATGGGACCAAACTCTTAAGTTCTATTTGAAGAGGCTTGCCTAAACACAGCTAGCAAAACAAGTTTATTACAGTTACCTGCTTTAGCTTTATACTCATAATTAGGAAATATGTTCTTGTGTAAAATGTCAAACTAGCCTCCAACTTGGAAACATGCATGTCCTTAGTCTATAGTTTCCTTCTTTTCTATCAAATACTGTTTGTTTACTAAGTGGTTTTTTTTTTTTTCATCTTTCTCTTAAACGTAACAGTATTTTCCTTTTATCTTTTGGTACATAAAGACTGACCCTCGCAGGTGGAATTAGAAATAGGCTTTTCAAATACTATTTGTTTACTAAGTGTTTTTTTTTTTCATCTTTCTCTTAAATGTAACAGTATTTTCCTTTTATCTTTTGGTACATAAAGACTGACCCTCGCAGGTGGAATTAGAAATAGGCTTTCATCCAAACATTATTAGAAAAGGTTGAATTGTATACTTCATCCTAGAATTGTTTTGGTTTGGAAATTGGGGGATATGACTACCAGATTAAATTTTGAGAGGTGCACCCATATAGGGTAACAAGCTTCTGGATAAAGCAGAGGAAGATCCTCTAAGTTGAAAATAAAAGTGTCTGTTTTGAAAGCTGCAGATTGAGCAAACTGTCTTCCCATTACTGGAGCACAGAAAAATTTACTATATATATGATTTACTTTCAAGTTTAGGTGGATTTTTTTTGTTTTTCTCTAAAGACATGTTATCTTTTTTCCCCTTTTCATGATAGTTTATGCACATACACACGTGAACTAGAGAGAAGGAAAGAGAGAGAAAGTGCACCCCAGAGGGGCCTAGTCACAACCCAATCTTTCTTCCTCTGATCTCCACCCTGGCAGGATCTTGAGAATGCACACGTGCACACCACAGTACTGCTGCCAGAGCCAGGGTTTGAAGGCTAGTAGGCCATGTGGGATACAGCTTCCTCTGTAGAGTGCTTAACCACTATGCTATGGAGCCAGCCCCAAAGACATGGTTTCTTGAAGAAGAAATTCAATGTATTTTATTACCATTTTATGGTATACATTTCAAGATTAATTTTAATATGCTTAACATCACAAAGAGGTAGGAATTACCTCATCAGATTATGAGTAACATAAAGTTCAAAAATTATGAAGTAGTTGTTGTTTGAATTGCTTTATTCTAATTTTTTGTAAACATATATTAAATCAAGCAAACATTACTTAAGTATTTATTATCCAAAGTTATTGACTTGACATGTTACATGGTCTTAGACTGTGCATTTCCACCTCACTGACATATTTATTTACAGATTGAGGAAATTGATTTTTTATTTATTTTTTAAAATTTTTTTAATTTTTTTTTTTGAGAGGCTTTTGCTATAGGGTGTGTGCGCTCACCAGAAGGACACAGAGACACAGAGACAGAAAGAGAGAAATCACCCCCAAGGAGAGATGGCCATGACACAATCCCTTCTCCTCCATTCTCCTCTCGGGATCTTGGGCACGCACGCACACGTGCCCGGCGTGAGTTTCAAGCCACCGGGATCTGGAATGCAAACTGCGGTCGACTACATGGGAGTCCAGCGACATAGCCATTACCCTAACTGCTGGCCCTGGAAATTGATTTTTTTAGAATCATTTATTTTGGTTTCTATTTCATTATATTGAATCAGTACCTTAAATCACTTGACATAGGCTTTCAGATTGTTTCATCTTCAGAGAGTTTCAGAAGGTTTTTATTTGTTTTTTTTGTTTTGTTTTGTTTTTCCACCAAGACAAGTCATTTTAAAAATAATTATCTCAATGGACTTTCTCCATCTCTCATGTAACTTCTCAAAATCTCATGTAACTAATCGTAGATGTAATGCCATTAGTACTGTTTGTAAAGCAAGCTTCAAATAATGCATAACATATAAATTCAAATTAAAGTACACTCTCATTATGAATCCATTTTATTTTAAAAGATTTTATATCTCCAAAATCAATTGCTAGTTTAACTAATGGCAAATAGGTAGATCAATCTGATAATATAAGTCAGTAGTATTAAATGCCTTTTTAAAAGAAAATTTTAATAGTCTGTTATTTATTTATTTATTTGGAGAGGTTTTTGCTATAGGGCACACATGCTCTCCAGAAAGACAGAAAGAGATAGAGAGACAGAAAGCAAGAAATCACCCCCAGGGGGAATGGCCATGCTGCATTCCCTTCTCCTCTATTCTCTCAGGATCTTGGGCACACATGCACACGTGTCCAGCATGAGTTTAAGCCACTTGGTCCAGGACTCAAACCATGGTCAACTACTTGGGAGTCCAGTGACATAGCCATTATGCCAACTGCTGGTCCCAAAAATTTTAATATTCTAGTAATCTTTTGTAAAATACAGGTTTTAATATCCAAAATATACATATCTATTTCCAAAGGGAAACATTACTTTAAAATGCAATTTTTGGTGACAAGAAATTAGAAACATGAAAAAATAACACTGAGGAAAAGAATGAATAAAACTGAGAAAATAATAAAGATTTTAACACAAACAAATCATTTTGAATTGCATGGGACTTTGACTAGGAAGGAAAAGATGATGAAAATCAATATGTAAATAGTATCAAACTGGATTATAAGATAGTAATACCCATTTTTCCCTCTTACTTTCCATTTTCTTTTCACTGGACATGGACCTTGGATAGGGGAATTGGAAAAAAAAAAAAACAACCTTGGATATGTCTCTTGGTTGGTGAATTGTACAATGGGTACACTTAAAACTTCTGCTGTATTAAAGCAATATTAGGATTATGTAGTCCAAATACATAGTTTGAGAAGTTAATCAGCATCATATTACTGACCTGTAACACTCTCAACTCTGCCAACAGTAGCTGAATCTATAAGAAATATCTGCTAGGTTTGTGCCTACACATGGATGGCTCTCCAAATCTCTGTCAAGAGAAAGAAAGGTAAAACTACAGTTAAGATTACTGATGTCTACTTCTTTAGAGTGATTCTGATGGTAAAATGTGATTCTAGTACAGGAAATACCTCTATAAATATTTCGTACTCTATCCAAATATCTTACTTTTGTATAGTTCTGTTGTTCTTGTTATTAATAAATACTCTAGTTCATATAGCTGATTTCTTTTCTATAAATGTCTCTGAAGACAAAATCTACTTTTTACCTAATAAAAATATCACCACCTGGTGGTGACTTCAGTAAATTGCAAACACATAATCCCTATAACTTTTCTAATAATATAAACCCATGATATATAAACTTCTGAGAGTTGCAGCCATCAGAGGCAAGTCATTTTGAAGACAGAAAGCATTGTACTATTACTCAGAATATAATAAAAGAGACATGGTTATGCATTATTTAGAAGCTTTTCTTGACATGGCTCTGTAGTATTGATTTCATAAATAGATTTTCTCTTAGTTTCTTACACTTTTCAGACTTTATTTAGTTTTTTCATTCCAATATTTAATGGACGAGTTATTATACACTAGAAATTGTTCTAGGTGCTTGAGGTTATTGTAACTGTGAACAAAATCAAAACAAACCAAATATACAAATGTATTGTGAGTTTAAGTCAACTGCAAACTGAAAGAACATAGTCTACATGCAACTAACCTTACTCTTGAGACCAACAGATGGCTTAATGGTTATGTTGCTGAACTCCCATGTAGTCGACTGTGGTTCGAGTCCTGGACCCAATTCCTTAAAACTCATGCCAGGCACATGTGTGTGAGTGCCCAAGATCCAGAGAGGAGAATGGAGATGGGATTATGACATGGTCATCCCCCTCAGGGGTTGATTTCTCGCTATCTCTCCATCTCTCTGTTTCTCTAGCAAGCACACATGCCCTATAGCAAAAATCTCTTAAAAAAAAAAAAAAAGACAAAAACTAACCTTACTCCTGATAACGAATTATAAGCTCAAACCACTGTCCTCCACAAGGATTCACTAGAACTTCCAGAATTCATGGAAAGGTGTGCATGTGTGTGTGTACATATATAACACTATCATATATGTTTACATACATATATATGCATGTAATTTTTTATCTTAGGATTTAATTTGTATATGTACATAATTTTTTGTCTTAGGATTTAATACTTCTGATCTCTATTTTTGATAGTGCTAAGCTTATTTTGTATATGTACATAATTTTTGTCTTAGGACTTAGTACTTCTGATCTCTATTTTTGATAGTGCTAAGTGCTACAGTAAATAGAGATCAGAGGTACTAAATAATGGAAGGAGTGCGTTTTCTTAACTATTTAGTTAGGAGAAAGGCTCACCAACAGGATAACATTTTATCAGAGGCTCAAATAAAGTGAGGAAACATGCTGTGTGATTATCTAAGAAAATAAAAGTCTAACAAAAAGAACCACAAATTTCCAGAAGTAGAAGTTTGCCTTCTGTATTTTGCAAAACCATCAAGAAGGTCAATGTGAATGCAGACGAGTGAGAGAAGGAGAAGGCATTTGGAGATAAAGACAGGTAAGGACAGGTGAAAATTAGGACATCAGTGTTTGACAGACCGATGGTATGGATTCTGAGTGTTATTCTAAATGAAGTGGGAAGCCATTGGTAGGTT